GGCAAACTAGACGCTTCTACAGTTATCGCGAGACCTCGTTTTTACGTCATAGTAAAGGCGGTGAAAACTGCAAACCAGTGGCCGGAGTTTGAATTCCAACATACAAAAGAAATAAACAGTAAATGCATGTCATTTTTCAATTAAAAAAAAATCGATAACAGTGATTTTAAATATCGATTCAGTATCATTGAGCGAAATATCGCAATATTTCGTTGTATCGATATTTTCTTACATCCCTATAGAAAAATGTGCTTGTGTGAATGGGTGAATGCACAAGTTGTGTTAAGCGCTTTGAGTGCTCAGATGAATAGAAAAGCGCTATATAAGAACCAGTCCATTTACCATTCAGGGCATTTTTTTTTTACATAGTTTATTAGTATCATTCACATCATAACATATCTCAAAAGCTTCTGTGTTAATTACAGTTAGACATGTCCACAACATAGACAGCATAAGTAAGGTAAACTGTCAATAAAATCCATAGAACTGCACAGTTAGAAACAGAGAGTCAGTGGGACTGTGTCTTGCTGCTACATCATCTTAAATCAGTCATATGATTTGGCCATTTGTTGATTCTCGAGACTTAATTATAAAATGTCTCATTAATCCTAACCTTTTAATATGTGTATATTCACATGCTAACCTTGTTGTAACTAGGGTTTCTACAACAAGCAAAGCTAAACAGACCTCAGCTGACCTGTGCTGCATCTATCCACTGGGAATTCCCGGTCACAACAGGTGGAAACAAACCCAGCCTCAGAGCTAGTCTACGCCTAGTGCCAGTCCCAAGATCGGATAAATAGGATGGTTGCACGATGAAGGGCCTCCTGTCTAAAATGTATGCCAAATCCATTGGATCCATCAACTGTGGCAATCCCTTGGAAAAAGCTTCCCAACGCCCCCCACCTTTTTCTCCTCCTGTTTGCACAGGGACTGTAGCTGCTGGTCTCTCTGCACTACCACAAAATTAAGAATTAACAATTGCATCGCACTTCATGAATCCTGTACAACACTGTATCAAGTCCCTTCTCCCCTTATAGTCACCAGGGTCTGGCAACTTTTCTAATGGAAAGACAGTGGCTCCTAAAATTTATTTTTACACTCTAAATTTATTTTCCTGTATTCTATGTGCATTACTACAGTGACTGTAAGCTAGGCTTCCAGACCTGCAGGTGATGTACAGCTGAACACTGCACCTGAACGCCTCCTGTGCAGACCCACGCAGAGCACCAGAGCTGCTGCTCTGCTAACATTCTGCACGCTGCGCAGACACACACGGCTTAAAGCAGATTCATTTCCCCCAAGTCAGCAAACAGGCCCACCTTTATCTATTATTTTACCGCACATTACTTCTTAGATGCTTTGATGTCATAACTCGGGTAGCATGGCTTGCTAGATTTCTCCAATTTGCATCTCCACTGAGTGAAGAGAACAATAAAAGCCTTGTTCACTAAGGGGAACAAAGCACACAGTGGATCACATCAAATATGAATTGAAGCGAAGTAGAATTCCAGTAATAATGTGAAATTTAAGATTGTTTCTAAGATCCTGGATTAACTTTTGCTCTCAAAACAACTAGTTAAATTCACAATGGAAATAAAAAATTTTTACAGTCGTGATTTCATGTTAATAACAGACGCACTTCCTGCCACATGAGGTGTTTTTGTACCTGGAAGCACTTCATTAGTATGCTGCTGAGGATTTTTCATTCCAGGCAGACTGTTAGTCCTGCTTGTCTCTTGTTTTGGCTTAAGATATTCCTCCAGCTCCAAGAGCCTGATGCTGCCTGTATGCGGCTTGTCACAGGGGGAAGAGATATGCTCTTTGCGGGAGAGGAGCTTTGCGAATGGCTCAAACTTATCAAAGCAGTCCGCCCCGTCCCCGAGCTTCCAATACAATGCCCCCCTAATTTTTCCTGAATGGAAGTCTCTCCAGACCTGGAGTAATCTCATATTCGCCGTGTGCACGCAGTAACTCCAGTTACTCCGGCTCTGTTCCCTGCATCCCCTGCCAATTGCATAATCAAGTCCAGAACTCATCAGCAAGATGGCAGAAGAAGTGCTCTATTAAGCCGCATCGTGTTCCATCTGTTGTGTAAGAGAGAGATAACAGTATTTACAGTTTTGGAGTTGTGGCAGACTGTTTCGGCCAAATTTTGTGCACCGCAGAGTACCGCTTACTTCATAAAATGTCACGGATTAATTCTGCCACTGCGACAGCGTCCAAGTGCAATCTTTGCCCTCGACGGAAATATCGCCAACTAACTTTATTGGAAGTACTACATTAAGAACTTGTTGTACAATATTTTACTTCACACTCTTTTTTTTTATTTCTTTTTTGGCATATCCTGGCCCATACTTTAAGTATTCACTCACTTTTATTCCATTCCGGTAAGAGGCTAATATTTGCTAGAACTCTACAGAAGACCTGCCATGTGGATAAAGGTCTTTAAGAGAGAGTCTGTCACAGAGGTGGCTGGTAAGTGTCTTTCAACTAGCATTAAGGATTCGGTGCTGCCATCTTCCCTCTATCAGCAAGGGAAATGAGTGTTGTTAGAAAAAAAAATCTAACCTAGATCTGAAAAGGAGCTGATAACCAAAAGTGCTGAGTGAAACAAAGGCTTATCTGCCTTACTGAGTGGAATGAATTGACCTTACTGTACATGAATCAGCTCAATGAAAAATGCTGATTTTTCAAATAAGACCCAATGGTTGATATTGTGAGGCCTCCAAAATATACAGACCTAACAGAGGACAGTTACTCTGTTAGTCTAGAGTCACTTCTGTTTACATTTCACTATATATAAAAAAGGAGATCAAAGCCTTTTGGCTCTTGCATTTTTCATTGTCTACCTTCCAGTAAAGAATGTGCCACACTTTTAAACCAGTCACTTTCATCAGTAGGCTGTGAGACAGAGCAGCGGCAGTGGAATAGTTTTATTTATAATATTATGCAAAAACCTGTTAAAACAGAAAGTCAGTCACAGAGTTTGTGCTTTACACTGTGCTATCTATATTTTTAATATTTAGGAGCATGTATAGGAGTGTAATAGAAGTATAATTGCTTCATTTTTCTGTGTACGCTTCTGTCCTTGCAGAACCTTGTAGAAAAACAAGGTGCAACACTCACTGGACTGTTAACGGGACATGGAATATTTAACACACCTGACTTTTACATAAAACCACCATGTTTTTATTACGATTTAATCCGAAAAGAATTTGAGCAAACTGACCTAAAGAAAAGTTAGTTAACCTAAAGTTAATCCCATCCAAGTTCTTTATTTTCGATGTACCGTACTTAAGGACGAGTCAAGACCTTGACATCTCTAACTTTAAGTTAGATACCCATTACACAACCTCAATACAGTAATCTTTATAGTACGTACAGTCAGAAAATGTTGGCATAAAGGACCCATATTTAACTAAGTGTTTACATCGTGTGTTAAGAGACAGCTTGTGTTCATATCCCCCCCACACTGCAGCACATTTGAACAATATTAACAATTATCATCTCAGTCATAGTGGCCCATTAGCAGCTCAATCTTTACACTGTTCTTGCACACGCAAACACTGGGAGCCACAAAGCACATCTACACTAATCAATCTTTGTCCTCAACACAACTAAAACAACCAAGGCAACAGCACAAATTTAGAGATTTGGACGCAAAAGTGAAAGCTCAAACAAGTATGCACAACTATACTCTTCACTAAGTGTGCAAAACAGACGGAAAACTCAAAATAATTAAGTACATTTTAAACACCTGCACACATTACATTAAAGAGCCTATTTTAAATTAAGGGCCCACCCATTAACTGCTTTCCTGATTTCCCTTTTCCTGTCATTTTCAGATCACTTTACATGTTCTTTTATATTGGCTCAAACAACCAGGGATCAAAATAACCTGTAAACTGATTGTAACTATGGCAAACTCCAGCATCTTAACACCATTAAACTTGATTCGTGCCTGGCTTTGCTCTGAGCCCCAGCGAACCCTTTTAACCCTGAGATCCCCCAAGTTTGCGAGACAGCGAGTAGAACTGGCGCAGCTGTCGGCATAAAAAGAGCTGGGATTCAACAGAATTAGTTACAACCCAGAAGGACTACTTACAGACCTGGGCTCCTTGTCTCGTCTGTTACCTGTAAAGGCACCAACAGCCTGCTCGACTCCCAAAGCCCGTGAGTGCTGCTTGAAGGATGCACTTGGCTGCTGTAAAAGCACACTCCTTAGAGCTCAGGAGTCTCCAGAAAGTGTTTGCAAGAGAAAAAAAAAAGGGGGGGGGGGTGGACCCCGACAGCTTCAAAGCAGGACCCTGTGCAGCGGATTAATTAAAGCGTCTGCATGCGAGCGCTTTTGTCGCTCCATCCACACACACACACCATTTCAGTCACGTCCGTGTCTTCAAAGTAGGAAACACTTCTATCTGAATAAAGAGCGATTATTCCTGCGCTGGCACCACAGCTCACACATGTCAGCACGGGGATAGAGATGAGGGCAGCCTGTAAACTGAGATGTCATTCCGTTCCTTTCACGAACTGCAGGCTAGCATTTCACGGTATGCCATCAGAAAAAGAAAAAAATATATAGGATATTCAGATATTCACTTTACCGGCATTTCCCCGGCTTTATGACATATCATATCCACTAATTGCAAGCTAATTAAGACGAGCTGAAATGTCATCATTCACGCCAAGGCTTGGCCAATTTAAAGGTTTGAAGGTGCAGTGTTTAGTCTCTCCTGCCATATTTTATTCACTACTGGAGGCTAAAGCACAGTGTGAGCATGAAAACTTGGCAAAAACAGCCCTGTTGCTAAAAAGCACCTGGCTGTGCTAGTGTGACCAAGGGAAAATTTGTAAGTACCTCTTATTTTTAAGTCAAAAGTGGGCGGACTGCTGATGTCGTGTAGCCTGGAGACCAAACGTTAAAAACTAAAAGTTCTTACTAAACATTTTTCGCGCCGCTCAAGTGTTTACTTCAGTGTTTATCCAGGGACGCTTACCTTGATCCAGTAGCCGCAGGGAGTGCTGAAAAGACGGATCCAGCGTGTCCTTCTCTGCCATGAGCTCCGGTAAGTACTTTTCGCTCCCCATCTTGTCCTGCGCTGCTTTCTGGGCTTCCAGCTACACTGCTCAAACGCAATTCAAGAAAAGATAAAAACAAAAACTTGCTCGGCGTCCAGGAGGCTCCAAGTTGGGAATATTTGTGTGGGGGGAGGAAAAAACGCGGGCTCTAATGTCATCCGCGCTCGCGCTAGAAGAGCATTTCCCAGTCCTCGCGGAATACACACACACACTCTCTCTCTCTCTCTTTCGCACGCGCGTGCGCGCACACACACACAGTGAGCGTTTAAATTTGAACGGTAGGTTTTATCCCATCCAAGCAGAAGGCAAAGCCCAGCTACGCATTACACCCGGAGCGGTCCTCTCCTCTGTGGGTGAAGGGGCTCTTTGAAGCTCCCTCTGTTGTATCCAGAGCTGAACCGAGGCGGAGGCAGTGATTGGTCGCCGCGCGCTCACGTAGCGGGCGGAAGGGGGCGGAGCGACACTTGGGAGCTGTCCGCGGTGCTGAGTCCCGCCATTACCATATCATTATCATAAAATCACCATGAAGAGTGGCAATTGAGAAACACCCAACTAAAGCAAACACTCCAAGAGTAAGAGTGTGTTTTGTTCTGTGCAATGTAAATAATGCACATTACTTCCACTACAGCTTATTACACTCTAAAGCCCCTTTATTTTTCAAGATACACAGCACAATTTGCAATGAGTAAAAAGATGCTATTAGCATAATAAGTTTGTGTTTGAGCACTGGGAGACACAATAAGGGTGTCTAAACCAGGAAAGTGTAAGTTTCAGAACCAGTCTACGACAGCCATTCCTTGTTATATTAATCCGTACCGAAATTAGTTGGCAGTCCAAGATGGCGGCACTGAACTTTACTGCTGAAACATTAGTAAAGCTGTAAACTTTTACTCTGTACTGCCACAGTTGTGTATTTTTTGTCTAACTAACTAAGCCATATGCAGAGCACTGATAAGTACTATGCTGATATTACTACCGGATTGACTCTACCTTGCTAAGAACCAAAATAAATCCTGTTTTACTCGCTCCTTGTGGAACACGGTCACTAGCGGCATTCAAGTTCTGAGGTATCTGGAATGCAGTCTTAGAAACACTACAGAAACTTCCATTTTTGTATTGTTGCGGTTGAAGGCAATGACTATTATCACTTTGCTGCTAGAAATTCTCTGCTGCTGCTCACTTCATGACTGAAGATAATGGATTCTATAAAGCAACCCATGGTGTTGTGATGTCCCTAATACTAACAGAAATGCATTTTACTGCAATTGAAACCTATAAAAATCAAAAAATAAAACCCAGTATGTCTCAGCCACTTTTATCAAAAACACAATGAACATTTCCAGAAGTTGTTTACCTCACCAAATGTACATTTTGGGGAGTTTTTGTACTCCATGGGACCCCCATTCAATATTATACCTACAATATCTCCTGAGCTCCTCCAGAGAGAGGGAGACATCCATTATATTTGAAGTTCATCAAAGTGTACATCACACACTTCATTTCCTGCATTCTGGTGAATTTTTATGCACCAGGTGACAGCACATCATAAACTGGAATATAATGCAGGCAGGTTCAGGCATTCTCAGCTATTCTCATTTTTTAATATTACGCCTGCTGAGTCAACACACAGGACTTCTCATGTTGGAATATTGGTTAATATAAGAGAGGAAAACAAACAAGCAATGAGAGAAAGGAAAAAACAAGTTATATAGTATAACAACACAGACAGAAGTTTTCCAGAAAGAGACCCCAAATTTGATCAAATGTGCCCTTTTGGTTCTGGATGGAGCAGTGGATCCTTTCCAGACTGAGACACAACATGAGATCAGCAAGCCACCGAACATGGGAGGGCGGGGCAGCAGCCTTCCACCTCATCAAAATGGCACGCCTAGCCAGGAGGGAACCAAAAGACAGCAATGGATTTTAAGAGTTTGCATGTGTTTTAGCCCACATTGCAAACCTTTTCCAGAGGCATCATGTATATCTCAGTGATGGAATTGGGAGTGATTCAAAATAAGGAAAAGAAAGAGTGGTAACTTTAAATCCTCAGTACAGTTTGAATGTGTTCGTACGTTGTAGAAGTGCGCTATCTGTACATTGGGCCACACCTCTTAATCTTCCACAAGTGTATAAAATCACACACCTAGCAATGCAGTCTGCCTTTGAAAGCATTTGTGAAAGAAGGAGTCAGTCTATAGAGCTCACTGAAATCAAATCAAATCAAATCAAGTGAAGTACTTCAGTAGGATGCAAGAAGTGTGAAATTTCTTCCCTCCTAAATATTCTATGATCAGCCCAAAGTGGTATCACTGCAAAGTGGAAGGATTTAGGAACCATGGCAACTCAACCAGGAAGTGGTGAACCAGGTAAAGTTACAGAGTGAGGTAACTGAGCACTGCTGTGCATATTGTGGACTGTAAAAGTCACCAACACTCTGCCGGCTCAGTAAGCAAAAAGTTCCAAACCTTCTCTCGCTTTAACATCAGCACAAAAAGTGTAATGTGTAGGTGGCCCAGTGCTTCTGTCCACATGATTCAATTTTAGTGTTATATTTTAGATGCAGATACTCCACATGCATTGGAAAGCTTTAGTTTTTCATTTTGTCTCTTCCCCTCACCCCAACCAGTTGCAGCAGATGGATGCCCCTCCCTGAGCATGGTTCTGCTAGAGATTTCTTCCTGTTAAAAGGAAGTTTTTCCTTCCCACTGTCACCAACAGCTTGCTCATAGTGGGTTGTCTGACTGTCTTTTTTTCCTCCATATTACTGTAGGGTCTTTACCTTACAATGTGAAGCGCCCTCATGCAAATCGTGTTGTGATTTGGTGTTGTATGAATAAAATTGAATTGATTTTTGCAGATTTTAAATCTAACTTATATTGTAGTATTGTAGTCCAAGCTACCTAGTAGTAATAAAAGATGAAATAATATACATTCATAAATCATTAACTTTTTATGTTAGTATATTTTTATACCAAAAGTTTTGCACAATTAAGTACGATTATGAGTTTCACTGGAGTGACAATCCTAAAAAAAAATCCCTCTTTGCAAATCAGTTGTTTAACACCAAACAATCATGTGCACTTTTGATGTAACACAGTCTGAACTTGCAGTGCTTTCGACACTACTTTTTTGCAGTGGATTTATTTCTGACTCGTTTTCTCAGTTTTGCGAATCAGAATTTAAAAAGCCACTACACAACAGTGACTGCAAAGTGATGAGATATGCTGGGGGAATAGCATTAAATACAATATCTGTAAACTCTTTAATGAGTAAGAGACACACAGTGAGTCACTGTGTTTTAAGGGCATAAATCTAGTCTGCACATATTTGTTTTCCAAGCCTTTCTCTCACACACGTTAGAAATAGAAACACAAGGTGTGGGCATAGAAATGACTGTTGATAAGTGCTGACAGATCCACCCAACAGATGTATGTATGAAAATAGATTCCCACAGATGCTTTTTTGACTGTTTAAATCCCGTGAAAATTGCTCATGTATTAAAACACTGGGTGTCACTCAAGGCTACACAGGCGAGGCTATTTGGGGCAGATACAGGAACATCTCGCGTGGTGATATGTGCTCTTTATTCATTTAAACAATTGATTAGGACAGCGTGACTCTTTGTTAAGGACAACATGTCAATAGTTCTAAAAAAATCCATTCACCTTCTTATAGGTCAGCCATGTGTTTCTCCTGGGCGTGATTATGAATTTATTAAATAAGTAGAAGCTGCTGCTGTTGAGAAAACACAGCCACAAAAAAAAGGCCTGCGGACAAACTTAGTGAGTCTCCACACAACTGGCACCAGTGACATTAAATGGCAGATACAGAGCTTATCCAGGCGGCAGATATCTAAAGATACGTCCACTTTTATCAGATGGAGCCCAGCAGTTCCTGGAAACACGCACAATGACAATGAATACCAAAATGTATTTGTGAGGAAATTTGTGCGGTGTGGTGTTCGAACAGATGGGAAGGTAACAGGATTTGCACATAGGCTTCATATTTGTTTAAGAAAAAAAAGTGGTAAAAGAAAAAAAGAAAAAGATAAGAATTCTGTCAATATTTGTGGAGGATGCTGCGGTAGCCTCAGGTGGGCGGCTATCTGTAGGCTGATCAGCACTGGTTATATAATTGAGAATTTTTTTCCCTTCCCCTCTCCATTCTATTTCAATAACTTGGAGAAAATGTGACCCAGAGGCTAAAAGCAAGATGGGTTTATGTATATTTATCAGCGTTTATATTCTCCATGAACTTTGGAATGCGCTATTGGTTATTTTTCTTTTTTTTATATATTGCTTGATATTTGTGCTCTGGAATAACCGCTCAGGGCATTAATGATTATAAAATAAACAGCGCGCAGTGAAAATGAATGGGTAGAAATATGCACACTGAGGTCTGCGAGCTTAGGAGTCAACCGCGCAGATAGAGAAACTGCAGTGGCGCAAAGAAGGCATGCGTCATGCAACGTCCCACTTTAGACATGTGAGCCCTCCCCACCACCAGCACACCGTCACCCCTCCCTGATTCTTCCCAGACTCTCGTTTATGTGTGATTCACGGCAAAGAGAAATGCATTATGAATCAGCTTACTTTTTAATCTCTCCCAGAGACCATTAAAAACCGGCTCAAATGCACTAATCTCCTATTCAGAGGAGCGACTTATTTATAGATATGCTTGCCATCTGTTGCTCCTCGTCTTCTTAAACAAAGCCTGGCGTTACCGTTGATGTTTGGACCAAAGTTACAGGGGCCTATACCTGGAGATGCTGGCTTTTTTTTAAAAAATTGTATTTATTTATTTAATATTTTTAAATTATTTTATTGAAAGGGAGCTCAGTGCTGTAAGTGATTACAACACATCAGCTCCAATGAAAATAATCATGGTTTATGGTGGTGTTGGAGGGACCCCCTCCCACCCCCTTCTACACAAGTCACGGGCAACCAAACGGGCAGCAGGGCGGGGTGTAAGCAAAGCTGTGAGGTATGTTCTGTCAGGCGGGTGTAAAGAATGAACAACAGCGGGCTATTACATTGACAAAGTGTTATTTTGATCATTAGAGAATGGCTGGCCCGCCAGCCCGTCCCAGCCCACTAAATATGATGTCGGACTGCCACACCTAGACAGGCTGTGCAGCGCCCCGGGGCGTCATAAATGCTACATGCACCCATACTATTACATCTGCAGTCTTCTGCTTTCAGGGTCAGCGTTTTCTTTTTTCTTTCTTTCGTTTCTCTCTCTCTCTTTCTTAACAAGAAGAGTTCATCAGAGCCGGAGACAGCAAATGTTTATTGATTTCAATATCTTGTCAGCTTTCAGTCTTCTTAGAATTTCTTTCCAGGGAGAGGGAGCCGTCACGGTTTTGGGTGGAGATGTTCGGCTTGTCACCTGAGGAAGTAATTAGACTTTGATTTGTCCTCAAGTTAATTGCGGTGTCACTTCGTGTCAGGAGAGGAAAGTGAGGTGGGGGGTTTCAGAGCTTTGGGTGGTGTTAGTGGTGGGGATCTTAACTTTCTACTTAAATTTGGATATGACAAATAGAGGGGGCACTTTTAGCACCTCAAAAGGGTGGATTCCCTCAGCAGTGGTTGGCAGGAGAGCAGCAACACTGCCTCCTTGTGCCCATTTTAGCAAACAATGTGAGAAAAAGAGATCCTCATCATTAAGAAAAGGGAGGTGGGATGGAATTAAAGCCCTATAAGAGCAAGGAATGCATGTCTGCGCTTAAAGGCGGACTAATTGCTGTAAAGCTTTGCTGTGGGGGGTTTTGCTTAATTTATTAGCACCCCCCTTCTACACACATATACACACACACCCTTCAGTGCATATTATGCTTTGGTAAAAGCATCATTACAGAGATAGACCGGTCTTGTGTTTAAATCCAAAATAGCGGGTATTTGGAGAAAATCATTTTAATGCATAACTAGAAAATGAGGGAGGAATTAGAAGAGGTGCGCAAAGAGAGGAAATGAGTTTTTTTATGTCACTGTGCTGCCCCTTCTTCTTTATTTATCCTCTATTTCCTCCTCTTAAGAGGTTCTACAAGCTGCATGCACGCTCTGCAGTGCCAAAAAGCTTTTGTAATGCTAAATTGCATTTTCTCTTATACACTTTGCAAATACCCCCTAATAACAGAGGAATAAAGCACAATTCCTCCTGCAGCCACGCTTGTCTTCCAGAGTAATTTTAACAAAGCTCTCCTTTCAGCATATTGTTTGCTTCCTCATAGAGACCCACAATGCCGCTTTAGACACAAAAAGGCGCCTTATTGTGGCCACTAAATGGAGCGCTTGCGTCCATTAAAGAGTCATTCAACACAAATGATATTGCCAGTGCCAATCTATCAGCTGCATTGATCATGCATCGTTGGCTGTGAAGTGCAGACTCTGGTCTCCTGTCCTGGAAGTGTTGAGCAAAAGAAACCTAATGAGAAACTGTCAGCAGCGCGCAGGTAAACAAATCAATGGTACCCTGCAGGGCTCCCAAGGTCAAGACACACACAAACATACTCCCAAACACACACCACCAAGTCGTCCAAAGAACCTGAGGTTGGAGCTGCCGTCAGAGCCTGTGCAGTGTAAAGGGGCGCTGTCAGGGTCTGGCTCGCAGCAGGTAAAGTGGCTTTAAATGGGATTTCTCCATGCTGCTTCGTCAGTGCTTTACCTTAAGGAATAGTTCTGACAGGTTTGGGAAATATGTTTCTTTACTTTCTTGCTTTAGATGAGATGATTGATAACAGTCTCATGTGTGTAAAACTGGGACTGAGAGGCACTCTATCATCTCCACTCACAGTTACCGAGGCTGCACTCGTGTTCCTGTGAACCGGGGATTTTGCATAGAAAACGACATAAAGTGAAACCACAGTAAAAAACAAGTCCGCAGACTGCTTTAATAACAAAAACGATGACAAGTACTGTGAAAGCACAATCAATACCTGAGTAAACGCGAGGGAAATTCTGAAATATTCATACACTGACATGTTCCATTAGGCTTTGTTCTATGGCAGACTATAACATTGTCTTTACAAATGCTTGTTTTTGCTCTCATAAGCAATTCTAAACACAACTGATAGCTAATGCCAAAGCAGATAAATCATTTTCATTTTTTTTGCTTAACTGGCAGCAAGTGCAACATGTAGTCAGTGGCTCAGTTTTCATCTTTTTTGTTGTTGTTATTTCTGTGTAATGAATAAGAGCTTAATAGAGCAGCCCTAAGTAGCTCATGCTACAGTATGTATTGACTGAATGTGTGGTGAGTGTTCTCATAGTGCACTTACATACCAGAGAAAGGCACAAGGTCAACAGCGGTAATTATTCTGTGGGAAGCACATGGGTCTTCAGTGGGTGATTTCATTTCCTGTCATTAGCCACAGCGATTAAGCACAAGAACAATGATAGCATGATAGCATCAGCAACCACCACACAGCCCCGGGCTGCTCTCAGTATTCTCCAATATTCTCTAAATGTCGCTTAGCATGGGCTTGAGTCTCATGTTGTGTTGTGATAGCCTGAATCCTGAATGCTTTTCTTAATTACCTATGATGACATCTAGTCTGATTTATCTGTCTGTATGTCTGTTTGTCTATACACACACACACACACACACACACACACACACTAGACAATTTATGAGATACACCAGTGGTTCCCAAACTTTTTTTGCTAGTGTAACGGGGCAATGTGATTGTGATTTAACACAGGTGTTATTCTAGAAGGGAAACCCTGCTCAAAAACGGACGGAGCAGTGGAGCAGCCAAGGGAATGCACTGAATTAAAAACTGGCTCATAAAATATAATTTATTATACCAAAACAGTTAAAAATGTAAAAGGAATTAAAACAACCCTGGCCAGGGAAAACTCACAATAAAAATCAATTAAACATAAACATTAAAAGTCCAGTGGCATCCGCCACAGCGTAAAAGTCACTAAAAGTTAAAAAATCCAGACAATCGGAGTGGACAAGGAAAAACCCGGCAGCGTCCTCGCCGTCCTGTCAGCGTTTCCGCTCCAGAGTGCTGGAAGAGAGGGGCAGCGACAGTCACTATTCTTTATTGTGGCTACAGTTGATTATAGTGCGATAAGACGCGAGACCTACCCCGGATGGGCAGAGCTCTTAACTCTGCCCGCCGCTTTCCTGTAGCACGCCAGCCGGCACCAGCCCGTCTTACCGTGGGAGGTAGGGCGCTGTCCCTCTGGCCACTGATTCCCCACCGTGATCTGGCCTCCAGTTATTCCAGCAGCAGAACAGCTCCCTTCGCTTCTCTGCTCGCTGGCGTCGTCTCCTCCCAAGTCCTGCACGGCAACCTTCATCGCCCCCCGTCCGGGCTTGCAGCCGCCAACGCCTGACACAGTTCACTCCACCATTTTTGCCACCTCGTCTCCCATGCCTCTGTCTCTCAAGCCTATCTCTCCGTGGTCTTCCAGGCCCCCCTTTTGGCCTCTGGGACCTCCCAGGTGTGTCAGGTTCATAATCAGGGAGGGGCGGAGTCTTTCCAGGACAAGTCACCAATGAATACCATAAAAACATACAATAAAACCCATAAAAATAAAACACTGTACAATATTCAAATATTAAAAAAGTAAAACATAGCAAAACATGCACAATAAAAAACCCTAGGTAACTTGTCCCTTTCCACCCCATGACACTAGAGCCCCCTCCGCCTTTGTTTTCCAAGAAAAATAATCTCCTGCTTTGCGTTTGTGTGGAAGCCCCGTCAAAAACCTATCAATTATGCTAGCAGTGTCCAAGCATTCTTTTTTTTTTTTTTCATACCACGCCCCCCCACCTCCTGCAATGGCTCTGCACCCCTCCTAGGGGGTGGGCCCCACACTTTGGGAACCTCTGAGTTACACCTTGTTAGAGTCTCCACATTCCAAGTGTGCTTTATTGGATTGAGATCTGGTGACTGTGGAGGCCCCTTGAGCAGATCAAACTAATTTTCAGTGGTCAAGAAACCAGTTTGTGATGATCTGAGCTCTGTGACATGGAGTGTTCCTGCTAGAAGCACTCATAAGAAGATGGGTACACTGTGGTCACAAAGGAATGCACACGGTGTTCACCATGGTACAAAGGGCCTCAAACTTAAGTTCCTGTTGCCTTCAGCTAGAAGCAGTGTGGCCGTTCACTTCTGTTCTCTGACAAAATATCCAGACAGTATATTTTGCATATTTGTCACATATTTATATTTCCGATCATAAAACCAATTATAATATTAGACAAAGATGACCCTAGTAAATAGAAATCATTTAATCAATTTAATAAATGAAATAATTAATTTCATTTATTAAATGGAAAAAAGGATACCCAAACCTACATAGCAAATTCTCTGTAAAATGACTTTATTTGATATCTTCCAATTTCAACATTTGCACAGAGAGAAATGGACAAAACCTGTAGTGTTGGTATTTCTCTGACAAGCATGCCCTTTACTTGCTTTTCCAAGGTGTCGTAGTTATGGCATAAAGGAGATAAAGGATTTGGCTAACAGCAGTCTTCTTCATCCCCACAGATCAGCTGTCTAGGCCAGGCAGGCAAATCCTCTGCTCAGCCCTTTCAACATTATCTTTCATCCATCATCACTGCAACTAATGGCTCAAGCAACCAGGGGGGAAACTAGTTCAACTTCCCCTCCTTCTCAGTTCCATTTCCTGTGATCAAAACTTTCTTCCAATCTATAAAACATATGAAAATAAGAGAATGCAGTAACATCTTAATATATCATCCCTGGCAATAGCTCTTTACCCCCCCCCCATTGACTTTGTATGAGCATAGTAGTTTCACTTTGTCAGTTTAAGTTACTTGAATGCCATTCCTTAATTTGAGGCATGGGTGGATATTCTGAAAAATACATCTTTTGTCATTTCATTCTAGGAGAATCTCTTTCTTTGTTTAGTGCTTCTCAAAACCAAGAGAAATAGAATAGGGAAATCTTTCAAAACATGAGGCTGATAGTCTGCTCTCACTCCCAGCAGTTTTTTTTACTTAAAAAATGTAGAACTTTAAACTTAAACTATGTATATGTATGTATCCATCCAACCTCTTTAACTTGTCCTTATCAGGGTTGAAGGGGGAGTGTGAGGTGATGAGTGTGACAAATATGTGAAGACAAAAAAAGTGCTCTACATGGAAAAGACAAATCAATTGTAAAGACAGGAGTGACATGTCCTAGAGAAGGGGCCCTAATAATTGTATTATTAACAAGTAAGGTTTTCACAAGTGGCCCGGCAGCATAGAGGTCATCCTGTAATAAAGAGGTGACAAGAAGGTCACAGTTTCAATGGACGTCAATATCAGCTAAACACCAAGCAGCTGACTCACTGCAGTGTGTCTTGATAACAAAGTCACTTACCAGGGCATGCCCTGTAGTGGGGTGATAAGATGATAGTAGCTCAAAGGCTGTATTTGTAAAGCTACATATTCATTTCAGGGGAAGGAAAATCATTACTTGGAATTCACTATTCAGCAGCACTTAAACAGAAGGAGCTAACTTGCTTAAGTGTCTCGAGTTACTGCTTTGACTTCATTCATTCTTTATGGAGGACAGCAGGTTGGAAATCCAAGTAAGCAGTTTGGAGCACACCAGTTTTGATAGCTACTATAAAGATGATTAATTAAACTAAATGGAGTGGAAGAATACCGGGGTTACCAGAAGCCTTGAACCTGACACATACTGAAGCATACTGGGGCCTGGGAAGTTTTAAACTATCCCCCAAAGACATGTGGCTGCCCTGAAACTGCCAAATATGTCACCATTATTGTCACAAAGGGAAAAGAATATGGGGGCTGCCAGGTAGGTGGAAAAACACAGACCTTTATTCTATAACTACTAGAGCTGATAAAAAAAAATATAATCACTGAAAGATTCAGTTAAGTATTACAATCTACAAAACAACAAGAGCCAGCAGGCACGCAAGAGCCTGACAAAGACTGAGGGAGGGCACACACACACAGACACAGGATGATGTGCCACAGGTGAACTCAAGTGTGACAATAACATGTCATGTCGGCATACCACTCCTAAACAAGAAGTATCAGCAGGACTGACCACGTACTCTGTGAGAGTAACACATAACCCCGGTGGACCGACGGCCTCAGCAGGGTGGTACACACTTATTTGCAAAGGTTCCCAGCATCAGAGTTTGTCGTGCATGAAACACATTAAGAAAATAAAAGTGACCACAGGCCAGGGGGAGCAACAACAAGCTAAGATGGTGATGGTGATGAACTTAGCATGGTGTCTATGAGACTTCAGCACACCAGCACAACCTCATTGATAGTTTCAATTCCGGTTTATTTTTTCAGTGCTAAATCACAATAATCACCCCAAGGTGCTTTATATTATAAGGTAAAGGCCCTACAATAATACAGAGAAAGACTAATGACTAATGGTCTACAGCTAAGTTAAAACTGATCCTGACTATCTAAAGCCATACATGGTAGCATTGTCCGTCTCATGTGATTATGGGCTGCCATGTCTGATGGACCCTGCAGGGCTTGCTATGACTGATCTGTCACGAAATGACAACATTACACAGTTGTGGCAGAACATCTCCGATGGTCCTCGGCTATGCCGTACTCTCTTAAAAACTGTATTTTGCATTTACTGGTTTTATCGTTGTCTAATGTTACAATTTGTTTGATGATCTGAAGCGTGGCAGAGTCTCTCTCTCTCTCTCTCTCTTTTGTCCTTAGCGGGCGTCTGGCGGCAGTTGTCGACCGCGCAACCAGTACACTGCTGTAAGTGCCGCAGGTTCTCTTGCTTGACCAACGATGATCTTCCACACTTTTTGATCTAAGGCAATGGTTCTTGCCTGCTCGAGATCGAGTCGACGGGCCTTCAAATCATCCTCGATTTGTTTCGTCCATGTCTTCTTTGGTGCATTTCGCTGCACGCTCCAATCGGCGGGGTGGGTCAACCAGAGTAGGCCATGGGGGTAGCGGCTCAGGTCCATTCGACAAACGTGGCCAAACCATCGGAGTCGGCGGCGCTGGATTAGTTCGCCGATCGTCGGTTGGCTGCCGCAGCTGGTAAGGAAGGTGTCATTTGAATGATGGTCGCGAACGGAAATGCCAAGAATGCATTGAAGGCAACACATTTGGAAAACTTCAAGCTTGCTCCGGTCATGTTTGAGCATCGTCCACATCTCCACGCCGTAGAGTAGAATGGGCAGGATCAGGGTTCAGTAAAGGTGGATATTTGTCGCAAGTGAGATGTTGCTCTTCTTCCCGACGCACCAGTGCAGGGAAGCGAACGCTGCCGCCGCCTGCCCAATTCTAGAGTGTATCTCCGCTGATGATGCCACTTTCTTCTCCTCGACGAGGGACCCCAGATATTTGAATTTTTTTGAAGATTTCAGTCGCCTCGGCGTCGTCTTCGGCAAAAGTGGCACTATTGTCGGCGGATCGTGATTGTAGAGTTCGTCGAAGAATTCTTTCCACCGTTGCAGGCGCTCCGCAGTTGACTTTACAAACGAGCCGTCGGCCTTTCTGATTTTATCATTCATCGTCTTGCACTTGCCACTGAGACTACGTATGGTCTGGTACAGCACCCTATAGTGACTTTGTTCCAGTATGCCTCACGGTCTGCTTTCATCTTCAGCCGCACCTCATGGTCTAGCTGACCATTCTTTTCAAAGTTGGTTAGCTTGGCCTTCTTGCGTTCAACGACCAGGTCGAGACACTCATCCGAGATCTACGGTTGTGTGCGACATCGGGTGGGTGGGCACAGCGGCTTGGCGCAGTCCAAGATGGCTTCCAATTAGGGATGGGTACCGGTGTCCGGTGCCATGATGGCACCGGTTCTGACATAAACGGTAGTAACCAGACCGAAAAGCAGCGCACATTTCGGTGCTTTATTTCGGTGCTTTTTTTTCCTGAGCTGTGATACACTTCTAGCCAATCATTTTACGTTTCCCAGGATAGTAGGCGGGGCCAGGTACGTATGTTCTGTTAGAGCAGAGCTACAGATTAAAAATGTCCAAGGCGAAGCGGTCAAAAGTCTGGCTGTACTTCACAGCAAAATATGCAAACTCAGCAGCAACAAGTGCTTTAAGCTGATACTGTGATACTGTCAAAGGAGGTAACACCTCGAATCCGATGAAACACCTGGCGACGCATGGCGTTTTTTTTTAAAGCCGAGAAATGCGCCGTATTTGATAGCTTGCTGCGAGACCTCACACTGTGCACGTTGGGTGGGTTGCCAGTTATCGGACCCGGAGCAACATCCCCCAAAAACACGAAGAGGAGAGTCCTGGCCCCTAGCCCTGCCAGTGTAGCAGAAATGATGAGGATGATGATGGCAGCAGCAGCCGTTCTTCTCTGCGTGAGTCGCTTAATGTTGTTCGAGTGTAACTTACGTTGAGTAGGCTAACCACGTTATTACATTAATGCATGTAAGGTGAACTAGCAAACATCATCATAGCTACATGCGGCTGTCTTCTTGTTTGATGGCAGATACTCCCTTCACCCTGGCCAAAAAGGCTAAAATG